TGTTGACGCTGGTCTCTGGGTTAAGGGGGACGTTAGAGGAATAACAGCAAGTGGTTATGTCTTATTTAATGCATCCTTGTAAATAAAACAGGCTCGAGTCCTGTAGGTGAAAGTTAATGTGGTCTAATGAACATCTGCAGTGTTATTTTAATGCAGGAGCATAACTTCACTGAGGGAGACATATGAGCTGCAGTATGAGAAAGCAGAGCTATAATCATCTGTGGGCTTTCATTAAAGTCATCCACTTCTATTGTGATGCAGTGTATTTAAGTGCATCCTAATTATAGAGCAAATCAATAGAATGTAGTAGTTGCTCTGGAGTTTTCAATCCTGCCACACAAACTTCGTTAACAACTAGTGTTTGCCTGGTTGTCACTGTAGAGAATTCCATTTACAAATCCGTGATTACTGAACAAACTCCGGCTACAAATGAAACCCCTGGGATGATTTTGTCAACTGCTCATTCCAAGGTCAAGAGTTTCAGTCTATGAAAAAAACCTTGGAAGTGATTCATAGTGTTGCAAACACGCAAAGTGGGTAAAATGTAAAGACTAAAGACTGTACACAGAGCTTGAGAGACAAATTCAGATCTTGCTTATGTTCTCACCTCTGCAGATCAAGCCAGTGACCATGTGAGGTGGGGATGAAGGTGTCCGTTTTGGAAAATTAAAGAAAGAAGGGGGTTTCAGATGCTGTCACATCTCCATTTAAAATGCTAATTGGCACAAAACAGAAGATGCAACTAAGGCTGATGGGACTGGGAATGTCATCGGCTCTGCAGAGATTTGGTCATAAATTAAAACGTAGACCTGATGATGACATCGTTTCATGCCGGTCTGAAATTATTGAGATTGTCAGTTTTGACCGAGGCATTTGATCAACTGACAGACTGACTTTCCAAAAGCCCTCGGTGAGCAGAGCTTTCTGTCACTATAGGTGTATTATGTGTTCTACCTCCCAGGTCAATATTTGAGGTGCACTGAAGCATTAAGTGCTGCCTATTGGACTAATAGAAAGCAGCAGCATCTGTTCCCCAATGCTCGTGACTGCTGACTAATCAAGGGGCTGCAGGAACTCTGAGTCAATATGGGGAAAGCACTGACCACACACACACACACACACACACACAGGGAAACACATCATGTAAAGGCTGACTTAACCTACTCTGAAATGTTCATCCTGGTGAATCACAGCTTGTACACTGCACTTTTGAAGCCACTCCTTTCTCTTCTGTATGCATCTACAGCTGATGACAGACTCACAGTCATCTAGTTTAATGATTAGACTAAAATAACAGTTTTGTTTCCTTGGCTTCAAAGTTGTCCCTTTATTCCCTTGGACACACAGTTTGGGGGGGGTGAGAACGAAAGAGGAGTTAAACAAGGGAATGCACATTTCTCGTTTTTGTCCACACAGTGCACACATACATGTCACATGAGCAGAAAAACCACAAGCTAAAGGCTGTGCTCAGCTGACGTACAAGATTAGTTTCACTAACTCTTATAAAAGCAAGTTGTTCTTATACAACCGCAGTGTAGAAACCAAAACCTTTAAGGAAGTTTAACTGTGAAGAAACAGTGTCCAGGATAACATTTGCACACAAGTTAATAATCTATATTGTGACTTCATGCAGTGTCTCCAAATCACCTCTCTCTCAGCATATCTCTGCCCTCCTGTGTAACCCTTGTGTGGGAACAGGAAAATGTCTTCTCTGGTGTGATCCTCACTCTAAATCATGCTGTAGTCGGTCATGCCACATGGTGAAATTCTATTGTTTTCTCAATCCAAAGATACTTTCCAATGTCCAGCACTGGCCTCTGAATTTCTGATTCAGTGTCCTCTTATCCTACTAGCATTCATTTTTGCCCAGTTGTTAACAACTGCTGAATAAGGAACCACCTCATTTTTTGTTTTGTATAACCTAAATAAGCAGCAATGGCTGTTTCTGTAATTGGTAGAAACTCCACCAGGTCATATGTAAGTTAGCAGTGTACTATGTTACTGTAGCAGTGTACCTATTAGTAAAACACCAGTGGATCATCAGCTTTCATTCGCTCTCACATGTGATGGTGTAAGTGAATGTGTGAGAGCAATCAAACCACTAAAAGGTTTCATACACACAAATTAACCCAGCAAGGCTTTCATCTCTGCTCCTTTGTAGGGCACAAAGACAGAAAAACAGACAGACACAATTCGAGGATCAAAGAGCTGACGACAGAAAACAGCTTGTGTGACAACCACTGTGGAGAACGAAGGGATCGACTTGCTGCGTGGTAATGGAGACCAGGACGGCAATGACGATTATGTTTTACCTGACTTACTAATAATGAGCCACTGAGTGCATCAGCTCCCTGTCTTTGATCGTAGCTAGCTGAGGACAGAATAAAATGTGATACGAACAAGAGTTAATGAATAGCGAGAGGTTGAGGCTGCTTTTAAAGTGAAGCCTGAGCAGGTCCTGAAAAAGCCTTTTGGTAACCACATTTGTGTCTTTAAATCTCCATAATTACACCACACCCGCTTGAAAACCTTTGGTTTTTCAGCAGCTCAGAGATACTCAGGGTGTCATCATACAAGGTAGTCCTGTTAACATCCCACTCAAACTCAGGTTAAATCCAAGTAGTGGTAAGAGTATTAGTGTAGATGGATGAGAGTAGTGATCACTGTCTCTATCAACCAAAATATGTAATTTCTCTCTTGGGACAATATATCAAATTTGAATATATCATGATACAAAAGCATCACAACATGTATCATTTTGTGTATCCCTTTAAGCAGTCCCTAGTTGTGGGGGGACCAAGAACTATTGGGATGTGGCCTGCAGTGTTGAACATCACTGCCAATAGTGAATGCCAGCAGGCCAATTTGTTTAGTCCTTGCCAGGGCTTTGGTATTGAACAAAAAGTACCAGGAACCTTTCTGTGAAGATGTAGCATTAGCACCTTGAGTTGTAGTGGTAGAAAACATATTCAGATATTTTATTTAAAGGGGAATGACAGCTATGACCCCATCCCAACTTTCTTTATGATGTGAAGTTACCAGGTAGCCCACTCAAAGGTCAAGACCCTCCTCAAATGAAACTCATTTAACCCACCCTCATTAGTTAAACTTGTACAGATGTGAAGTTGACTCACCAGGTCCTTTGCACAAGTAGGAGTAGAAGCCCTCAGATTTGAGCATGATGAGCAGGGATCCCCAGCCGAGCAGCACGGCAGAGAACAGCAGGTTTTCCATGACGGCTGTCACCGCCATCCACCAGCGGCGGGAGAAAGCTGTGGCCAGGGTGGGAGCCATGTCAGCTGGATCGGAGGTAGCAGTGCTCTGGCCTGACAGGTAGTGATGGAGGCTGCTGGAGCCTGGAAGACAAGATGGGGGAATAGAGACAAGATGACAGTCAAATAGTGATGTTTTCAGTGTGTTGTATTATGCCTCATTGCTTGATTTGATATCTACAAAACTTTATTAGCTCTGTGCATAACTAACAACAACAACATGGTCTTTTGGCTATACAATGAAGTTTTTTTTCTGAGACTGTACCATATACATGTCTAGTCTTGTGATGATAATGATGGTGGTGGTTTAGAGAAAAAAAAACACAAAATGAAAACAGATGATGCCTTAAAGGGGCACAAACATATGCCTATCAAACAATCCCGCCCTATGACAAATCTGATTGGTTTGAGGGTGTAACAGGGCGTCTTCTATTGGCTGCCAGTGACATAACTCGTGCAGCAACCACACCGCTGATGCTGCATTCATCACACGTGTTGGGTGTGGAAGAAAGGGGATTTTAGAGATGTCTTTATTAGTAAAAACGGTGTCGTGCTTAGCTTTTACATTAAACTGTAGCTTGTAAATCCTAAATGCTGATGCGAAGATGCATCCGTTCATTAAATCCCGCTTCTTAAAACGTAATGCTAACAAATAGCTTTTTAAAAAATATCCCGCTTTAATTCGGTGATTTAAAAACACTTAACCCGCTGGAGTTTCCCATTGTTTGTGTGAAAGCATCAACCAAAATGTTCCACTGCTGAAGTGGCGTGTGCTGAAAGTGACAAAGCTAATTTGGGAAAAACAAATCTGTGTTTAAAGAAATTCCCATTAAACGTGAATGCAACGCCAGCTCCAGCCGGTTCGAACCGGTGCGGCGCGAGATTCTCCGTGCTCCTGCACAGACACACTATCTGTTGTACATCGGTTAGTAGGTTGGTTACAGTGAATATGACCAAATTAAAAACATATAGACCTATACAGACACACAAAAAACCCAATAAATAATCTAATCTGAATAACTCTAAACATAGGTAATATAAAACATATGTTCACTTTATTAGCCTACAAGAATAAGATACACAATCTATAACTAACAATGAACTGAAACAACAATAATAATAAGCCATTTTATTGTGTAATGTGGGAACTGTGCTATTTCACATTTTATAGAGGATACACATGCAATCATGTCCTGACTTTAATCCATAATAGAAATTATTATTGGCTGGTTTTTCCGTTTGATTGCCGTATTTTTATTCCCTTTTTAAAATTATATTCCGGTGTTTTAAGAGCTATGGTGAGCTGGAAATAAATACTTGAAGAAAAGAAGAGAGAGAAAACTTAACGATATTTTTCTATTTTGTATGAGAGAGACTTTTCGTCTGAACACAAATTTGATGTCACATATCGCCCCCAGCACTAAGGGCTATGCAGACCCGCACAAGATGACAGGACGCGCACGGTCCATACTTCACTTGGATGTGGTATGCTTTAACAGCAGATGTGTACATCATCACACTGAGAACAATAATACCAAGTATATTGCGGTGAATGAAGAGCAGCGCTGGAACTGGTCTGAACTGGACTGAAATCATCCGCACGATACCCCCCACCCCATCTGCACCTCCAACCCTGCAAAGTCAAGTCAGCCAGGACTTAGCATCGTTATTCCGGTCGCTAATTTCAAAATAAAAGTCTTACGTGTTGTAACAGAATACACAATGTTGCCATTGTTTGGATAATTTCGCTTCCTTCCGGAACTACACTGATTGTATTTCAGCACCTTGACGCACTTCACCGAAGAGGCGCTCAGTTGTTCGGTATCAACAACAGTAGGATACGGAGGAAACACCATCAGGATGCTGACACAGAGACAGTTCACTAGAGCACGACGGACAACAAAAAGGCATCCAGATAGCAGTGCTGCTATTCTGCCGCATTACAGCTGCTTTTGTGCAATGAAGCGGGGTTTTTGAGAAATTAAATAACTTTCATGTAAACCAGCTCGTCTCCACTGTGCCCAAGCAAAGGGAAACGGGAGAAGTGAATGAAACCGATGTAACACATTCAGCTGTTGTTCATATTTGATCTAATCACCTCCGCATGTTTTACAGCGAACTTAGAGGATGAACCATCAATGATGAGAGAACGGCGAATAATTTATTTGACAAACACTGAAGTTGGTAATAGTGTCACAGGTTGGTTCCTCTTGCTTCTTTGCAACCAGTAAACAAAAGAAAACAGTGACAGGAAACGGCTCCAAATGAAGGAAAACACTTTGCTGAAAAATGATGCTTGTGGTGGGTTATTTCACCGTGAGATTATGATTTTTTTTTTTCTATGAATCTTGCCAATATGAGTCAGCCTCTCCTCCAAGGAAGTGCGGTCCAGTCTTGGTGCGCACAGCCTACCTGAGCCCGTGGATTCTGGGACAATAGAGCCGCTCCGTCCTATGTCAAATCTGCCTCTGCAGGTTCAAAAGTCCTTCGGCGATAAACACACAGAGTAGCAGTGGGAATTCATATGTAGGATGTCTCTTTGCTTTCTTTGAATCACTATTTCGCTTCTCATCCTTCATTGCTGCCGCTTTATAGCAGCGCAGGAGCGATGCACAAACAAGAGCGTCTCCCTATTGGCCTGTGGCTGAGCTAGAGACCAACTCCAGCCAATCACAGAGCTGCAATATTACATGTGGGTTATTTAACAATATTAAGGATAATAATAAGGATAATCACCTTTATTTGGCCAAGTATGTTACACGCACAAGGAATTTGTTTCCGGTACAGAACCAACTCACACCGATGGCTCTAACCATCGGGGGCAACTTGGGGGTTCAGTGTCTTGCCCAAGGACACTTTGACATGTGGACTGCAGGGACCGAGATTCAAGCGTCCAACCCTCCGGTTGGGAGACGGCCGTTCTACCCACTGAACCACAGTCGCCCCCAAACATCTTTGGACACATACAGCTGCTAAACATTATGGGACAAAGTAGTTTCTCTGAAAATAGGACAACATGACAATAGAGAACTACACTTAATTATGTAGCTAAAACGGAAACAAGCCAATAAAACCCCTAAAAGTTTGGCAGGATGCAAATAGAGAATGTTAACTTAAAGGCTTGATGTTTACCATCCTTTTCTGTGTATGTGACTGTGAATACACACCTAAAATGATTGTTAGCAAAAACAATGCTTTAGACTTTGACAATAATAGAACCGCTTTTGGTGTAACAGAACCATCTTGGTTTAAATGAGAAAGACTGACTAAAGAGTTAAAATCTCAAAACGCCAGTGGAAATATTTGTCCTCATTCGACAATTTTGTCAAGTAGCTGCTGCCTTGTCCTATAGGCTGCACCAGTGTATATCAACTATAAATACTCTCATCAGTATTTACTTGTAATTCCTAGAATCAAGGCAGGGTTGATATGGTCCAATGGAAAAGGTCAGCTGAAAACAAAAACCTCTGGAGGAATAATTCAGACTAAAGGCGACACCTGCTGGCTGCTTCAAACCAGAATACTGAACGTTTTTAGACTGTCATGATGGACAGTGATAGAGGAATTCGTGGTTGGATTATTGAACAGACCTGCACAGGCCAAGGGGTCAGTGGTGGGCCCTTGACCAGAGAACCACGACGGGACTGTCAAATGCCCCCTCCCTTTTTGGGTAAGCACTAGGACCAACACACATGAACAGGAGGGAAGGGAGCAATAAACACCCGACATACATTTAACAGTTTGTATTTATTTTTAATATTTAGTATCTTGTTCTTTAGTGTGTTGGCATAATTATACATTGGTTTGGTGCATACAGTAAGACAGGACTGGTAACAGGAGTGCATATTTCTAAATCGATTTGGTTTGATTAAAGCTTAAACACACAGAAAGAGCAAACCTTTAGGTGCTGCTTGGAAATCTTTAGACATGGCCTGACGACTACTGTCAACAAAAGACCAGACTAGAAAGCATTTTGCTATCCAACAAGGCACCATGTTAATGAACAATACTAAAAGCTAATTGTCTCTCCAAATGTTTCACAACATCAAACCTCACTTGGCTTGAACTTCTCATTTATATCACAAACCGTATATACACATCTCCCTCCTGAAGAAAAACAACATCATATAAATCATACAACAGAGAATCAGTATAAATCAACAGGGTCTTTGGCTAGTTCAGTTTAAATGTAATAGCACAGTGCTGCCTCGGCATTTCGCACCCGTCTCGCCACCCAGAGCCAAGAAAAAAATTCTGTCATTGTGCAAGGTTTCGACAAAAGATCAGAAAATTATTGGAAACAGTTTGGAGGCTCGTCTCAAAGGTTTCACCAATATGGCTTTTTCAGTTGGTCTATAGGTTTAAAGAAGAATTAGGGGTCAAGGATCAGAGTTGGGTTTAGACAGAGATGTTTGTTGTAGTGGGATTTTAACTTGAACCGGTGTTAACAGCTTTGTGATGTGAGAATTTCAGTGGTGTGTCAAAAGGTTTTCCTAGTTTGACATTTTGGACAATGCACTTATGTGCTTTTTTGCCTCAAGTTAGATGAGTTGATTGAAAAGACTTTCATACCTCTGTGTTTAATATGAAGCTGCAGCCAGCCAGGAGACTATTAGCTTTGTTAGCATAAGGAAAATAGCCTATCTCTGTTTGAAGGTTAAACAAACAAACAAAACAAAACCTGCCTATTGGGACCTAAAAAGCTAATTAATATGTTGTCTCATTTGATTAATAATGTGTTTTATATTGTCTGAATAGAGAAAAGCTAACTGGTTCTCCCAAAGCTAAGCTAGCCATCTCCTGGCTATTGGTTCATATTTAGTGTATAAACATATTAAGTGGTGTCAATCTCTTCATCCAACTATAACCTTTTCCCAAAATGTAAAACTATTCCTTGACAAATTTCACATTTAGAGTTGTCAAAATACACACAGCCGCTAGCAGCTTCAATCTATAACCGCTGTTTGTGCCTTCAGAAGCATTTTAGCTGAACCCAGATTTGAAGCCCACAAAAAGTTCAATTTTTTTTCCAACTTAAAATTATGTTTTATTGCCACATTATGGTCTAAATTATGTCTCATAGCTACTCATATAATTGGTCAGCCCTAGTCAAAAGTCGCTTTCAGACCAGTTCTATCATGGAGTGACAAAAAGTAAACTTCTCTAAGATGGAAAACAGACAGGTGAGGTGAGGTAGGCAGCTGGAGAAGCAGAGTATCTAACTACAAAGCGAGATGCTGCAGTTTTCAACCATGTTAGAGCATGTTATATGATTCTGAGCAGGGCATGCTGCTTCTGTCAGAGGATATCTATACTTAGCACTTCATGCTGAGCATCATGGCTTTCATATTTCATAATACAGCTCTTAAATTGCACTCAGAGCAAATTAGACAAGGAAAAGGCACAAGCGCCTGGCATCGAGGCAAATGACTGCTGCATTCTCTCATCTTTCTTTTTGCCTTTCTTTTGCCGTTTCCTCACCCACTTTCTCACTTACTTTGTTCATTTTTGCAGCATATACTGATTATTTAATGTAGTGAATCTCTTATGAAAAGCTTCCTTCTTATCCAAACGCTGTAGAAATGCTGATTTATGAAAAAATTTCAGTATTTGTTTTCATTTAGTGAGTCACAGTCTGAACATTTTGGACCAAAATACAACCATTTGACTGAAAAGATATTCTTCCTTGTCACCAAACCTCTCAACAGTTATCCTACATACTGTCAGCCTTGTTCTGCACACCTTCATGCTTAAGTAACAACTCATCTGCCCCCACTGGAAAAGTAGTTTGAGCAAGACTTTCAAGCTGTTTAGACAGGCAGGAAAAGTAAGCAAGGAAAAAAGAGGCAACAGCCACCAACTAGCCCTCATCTTATTCTTGGTCATGTTCCCAAATAAAGCACAATAAACACGCATGGTGCAAGAAAAACGCACCAAAACATTTGCTATTCCTTGGCTTCATATATAAAATCTCAATATTCAAACAGCAACAGTATTAATCCCCAAAATATAATATATAAACATAAATATATCAATTAGTTCAGCAAGATTTTTTTTTTGTTATTGGAAGCACAAGCCATGTGATTGGCTTAGGCAGAGTGGGGTCTGCAGTCATGTGATTGGTGGATGGAGAGGTCCTGGTGTGTTTGGTCAGGGTGGCCATCATCTGGAGTTCAGTCTGGGAGCCGTCTGGAACAGGAAAGCAATTTTACAGTTTTTGAAAACTTAAAAAAAAAACTTGATAAACAGTAAAAATATATTAGCTGATCAAATGTAAAAATATTAAAGCTGTGTAAATTGAAATTTTAGCGAATTGCAGGCAGAGCAACAAGCTGTAATCACATTAAAAGGTCCTGAAAACATATTTGTCATCGACTCCTGAAGGAAACATCTGACTCTAGCCACTAAGTTCTCTGCGATGTTCACTAGCTAAGTGCTATCTTTGTCTGTCTGCCATTAGCTACTTGACAGGCAGCGCACAGTGGGTTTATTAAACTTATCTCTCTGAAAACAGCTGCTGCAAACAAGGTTGATGTGAATGGTGTTTATGGGCTGTAAAACTACAACACGCAGTTAAAAGAGGTGAGAAGCTCTCTAGAACTGAAAGAAACTGCAGTGTCAGGTGATAATTCTTCATGAGTTTGCCAGGATTAGCAAACTCTTTCACTTTTCAGTCTTGTGATCCATCATCAAAATAAAATATTGATAAGCGCAGCCTTAAGTTCTACATCAAATTTGGATGCTGAAATCAAAACAAACAATCCTCATTTTTTGGTGACGATCAGCACATTGAAATGTTTTTGGATTTAATTCTGAAACTGCTGTTCTGCCAGTTGGAATCAAATAAAATCAACACATATGATTCAGAATCTTTGTAATGTGACTATGTGAAGCTATAAACAATCAAGCCACTCACCACAGACAGGTGTCCATTCTTAGCCTTGGCCACAAGCAGC